ATTGCCTAGAGCCCCCCCCCAAAAAAAGTTACACTCACCTGAGCATAACTCCCGTGAGCGTCTCTCCCCCTCCGCTGAAGCAGTCAAGGAGTCCTCGAGTCATCACATCCAATACAGTGTATAGGACATGAGGATGCAGAGGGACTGGCTGGCAGGAGCGCTGCCAGCTCAGAGCGAGTATAATTAATTTTAATTTATTTTTTTGACCCAGGCAACAAGCCATTAACCCTTGCAGTGTGAGGGTAGCCCTGCTGCAAGGTTTCAAAAAATGTCTGCCAGGAGTTCTTCTTAAGACCCGATACAAGGTCTAACACATCCCTTCATGTTTCTAAAATCAAAACATGACTAGACTCAAACATTTACTGATTTGCAGCGAATCCTTTATTACAACAGATTACTTTTCATTCTTTGTTTCTTAAATTGACAGGCTTTATGTACATGCATTCCTGGATTACAGCTCCGGATGACATCCCATAGCTTGCCACTAGCTTCCAAGTGTGAGGTTGGAGGTAGCCTAAAAGGTTAAGCATAATTCACAGCAAGCGCCTCAGCAGCCCTCACAATATGTACTATATTGCCAAAAGTATTGGGACGCCTGCCTTTATACGCACATGAACTTTAATGGCATCCCAGTCTTTTTCTGTATGGTTCAATATTGAGTTGGCTCACCCTTTGCAGCTATAACAGCTTCAACTCTTCTGGGAAGGCGTCCACAAGGTTTAGGAGTGTGTCTATGGGAATATTGGACCATTTGTGAGGTCAGGTACTGATGTTGGACGAGAAGGCCTGTCTCACAGTCTCCGCTCTAATTCATCCCAAAGGTGTTCTACCGGGTTGAGGTCAGGACTGTGCAGGCCAATCAAGTTCCTCCACCCCAAACTTGCTCAACCATGTCTTTATGGACCTTGCTTTGTGCACTGGTGCGCAGTCATGTTGGAACAGGAAGGGGCCATCCCCAAACTGTTCCAGCAAAGTTGGGAGCATGAAATTGTCCAAAATGTCTTGCGGATGTCTTAAGAGTTCCCTTCACTGGAACTAATGGGCCCAGCCCAACCCCTGAAAAACAACCCCACACCATAATCACCCCTCCACCAAACTTTACACTTGGCACAATGCAGTCAGGCAAGTACCGTTCTCCTGGCAACCGCCAAACCCAGACACGTCCATCGGATTGCCATACAGAAAAGCGTGATTCGTCACTCCAGAGAACACATCTCTAGAGTCCAGTGCTGGCGTGCTTTACACCACGGCATCCGACGTTTTGCATTACACTTGGTGATGTAAGGCTTGGATGCAGCTGCTCGGCTATGGAAACCAATTCCATGAAACTCTCTACGCACTGTTGTTGTGCCAATCTGAAGGCCACACGAAGTTTGGAGGTCTGTAGCTATTGACTCTACAGACAGTTGGCGATATCTACGCATTGTGCGCTTCAGCATGTGCTGACCCCGCTCCATCATTTTATGTGGCCTACCACTTCGTGGCTGAGTTGCTGTTTTTCCCAGTTGCTTCCACTTTGTTATATTACCACTAACAAGTGACCATGGAATATTTAGTAACAAGGAAATGTCACAAAACACCTAAATCCAATGATTTGGAGGGTTGTCCCAATACTTTTGGCAACATAGTGTAAGTAAGCTGAAAGATTGCAAACACAACAACATGCACAACGTTTAGACACACATAAAAGGGGAGCAGTGCCAAAGGCCATGCAAACACACATAGGCATGGTCTTAAAAATACAGCAACAAGATTGCTAATGTTGTGTTATAATTTACTGTAACTTCTTTGAAAAAAACTGCATTTAGCCTTTAAACGATCCATAGACATTACAAGATCATCACCAGATCCTGAGGACTTCAGCAGATGTCTATTGGTACTTCAGACAACACCTTTGGCCTATATAGCTCTGGGGGAAAAACATACTTGCCAGGTTAGTTTATTTTGACAGAGAGTTATTGCTCCCTAGAGGGAGCAATGGCAGCACTGCTGTCTGCTGAGTGTACATGAAAGCACATCTGTGCAATAAAGACACATGATGGTGCTGTAATTCTGTGTCTATGGGTTTTCTTCACATTTCCAAGACATTAACCATCTAATAAAGAAACCCATCACTTAAGCATATCTCCAGCCTGTAACATATGCATAAACCATGTTCTGGCTGCATTGCACTAGGGCTGTATAGTACATAGGTTTGGGATACATTGTGTGAGAGAGATATATAGACAGATATATACACTGAGTGGCCAGATTATTATGACCACCTGAAGTTTGTAGGCAAATTAGCTATAATTTTGCGCTGAAGTTGCTAGAGGGCCAGACCATTATAAATAGGGAAGCAGGTTGTTTACAACGACAGTAGAAGTGATTTTTTTTCTGAAGATACGGGTAAACAACGCAATTTAACAGCCTTTGAACGTGGGATGATTGTTGGTGCTCGGAGCCATGGAGCGAGTATGAGCAAAACAGCAAAATTCGTTAAACGTTCAAGAGCAGCTGTTGTTAAAGTGTTTAAAGACCGGACTGTCAGCCGAAAATCTGGGTCTGAACGTGCGAACTAAATACGACCCCATCAATCATATGATTACAGCTGATGAAAACCAAAAAGGTCAGAATGTTTTATTATTACTATTACATTATGGGAAAACAATGGCAGCAGTCTCAGTACATATACAAATGATTAGAATCAAATATTAGCTACGTTCTATGCAAGGGACAGAAAACCCTGCACATAACTACATATACAATTATGAACTATAAATTAATTTCAACAAACAGGAAGAATAAAAACAAATGGCATCCTCCTTAAGGCAGTGGCATGGATAAGATGAAGAAAGGGTAAGCAGGGTGGTTCAATGCTGAATCAACTAGGTAACCACCTTGCCCAATACAAGTGAAATAACCCATGTGGTAGCCCACATATCCATATTTTCAGAGTAGTCAAAAAGGGTCACTAGAAGCCATCTGTGTCCCTAGAATTGTTTCGGCAATCGTTAATGAGTTTACTCAGTGAGTGATCATTTTAAACAACGAGCTGGTGTTCTCCATTTAGATACCACATGGGTCTAGGCCAGCCTCCATTATGAGGGTTTATTGCCCTACAATAATATAGCCAAAACTATTGTTTTGGGTTTTTTCCTAGTCCAGAGGGAAGAGACCACTCTGCAGGATAACCAAATACCGTAAACTCGTTATTCGGCATCCATGCGGATTGTGTTTGATTCTGGATAAATGTTGTTTCTGGCTGCTTGAGAGTTACTATTAAAAATAGGTCCAACTAATGCCATACCCCATACTATACCATATCATAACAAATAGGGATGCACCGATACCGGTATTTTGGTACCAAGTACGAGTACCGATAATTTTTTTTCGGTACTCGCCGATTCCAATTACCGAGTAACAGAAGTCCCATTCAGGAAGCAAGGTGGCGTGTAAAGAGTCGCCACCCGGCTTCCCGATTCACAAGAAAGTCCCCTCTTACCTTAGTATGTGCAGCCTGTCACCCCCGGGGCCTCTCCAGAGAGAACGCGGCCTTCGTCCGGTACCCAGGCGAAAAACGTCTGGGCAGCCAATCAGGAAGCCGGGCGCCGTGTAATGAGGCAACACCCTGCTTTCTGATTGGCCGGGAGGCCGGCTCCATGTTCTCTTGTCATGAGATGACGAGGGAGCATCTTCCTGATTGGCCAGCTTCCGACCAATCAGGAAGCCAGGCAGTAGAACTTAAATATAAAATGGAAAATTAGGGCAAAAGAAGGCATGCATCATGCATAGTCTTCTGACATTAGCAAGGAGGAAGGAAGAACGGCATGAAATAGAAAATAATGAGATAGTGCCCTGAAATTTGGTCTGCCTTCAGGGACACGATCTAGACAATGTGGGTTAATCTATGGGGGAAGATGGGGGTCGTTGAATGGTGGGATCTGCCTTGGTGGGATGGCAGCCTCGGGGACTTTCTATGTGTGGGAGGCATGAGGGACGACAACAGCAGAGTTGAGGAAGCCAGGGAGGGCAGGACAAGAGTGGAAGAGATGGGGAGTGAAAGAGGTAGAGAAAGCACTACTGGGAGGCAAAATACCTCAATTTTGGGACTCCTGCGGCAGGAACCTACGAATTACTGCAGAAGGAATCCAAAATCTCCTGTTTGGATGCGGCGGCTGTCAACCATTCAAGTTAATGACCAGGTGTAAGCGGCCGTCCACATATAATCGCATGTGATACGATTACATGTGGTTTGGAATAGTTCACTGTCCCTGGATGCACCTTTTCTGCGTTCAGGGACTGTGATCTATTGCAAACTGCATGTGATCGTATCACATTTCGTAGCATGAGGACCGCTGCTTACAGGAGCGGCCACTGTCACCCAGTCATTAACTTCAACAGGTAATAGCAGCCGCATCTAAATGGGAGATTTGGGATTCCTACCGCAGGAATCCCAAATTGCATAGTTTTAATGTACCCTTAGGCATTATATTAATTACCGATGAAACACCGAGACTCTCAGACACACTTTTTGTGCTGCAACGTTTGATAAAATTCATAGTCAGTTAATAAAACATATTGACTCTTTTACAACTTTTTCAGCCTTATAGCAAAGTACAGTATGTGTTCTCCCTGATATGTTTTCTGCATTCTGCCATATGTTAAAGCTTGCAGTTAGGGTAGACGGTTGCATAAATAGGCCATGGACTTTGTAGATTATCCCATGCCTGTTTCAAGGTAGCAAACCCATTAATATTTTTGAAGAGGATATAGGGTCTCACAAAGCCTTCTAAAGATCATGCTTGCTTGCATCAATATAAATATTTGATGGATAATAAAGGAAGCATAGCTGACAATGCTCCTTGTTTCTTCCTTCAACATCTGTCAATGCTTCCATGTGACCATAGGCTGGTGTGATCCTTATAATATTCAAGAAAACTAATTCCCCCATAAAAAGCAAAATGTTGCACACAGCAAACACACCCAGACATCCAAAAACACCACTGAGTGTAACTCACCTTACTGAGCAGCAGCACCCTCTTCTGAAGGCGTCTTACTAGTGCATCCTGCACTTCTCTTCTCTTTTTCTCTTCTAAGAAGCTATTCTGCAATTTCATAAGCTCATCCTGAAGTTTATGCCGTGCATTTTCTAACATTCGGGCACTACAAAAAAACAAAAACAAAGTGCCAATCAGTTAATAAAAACAGATTAATAGTTAAAACGCAAACTCAAGGCAGAAAACAAACATGACTAGTAACTAGTACAAACATAGAGCTCAGTTATTCAGCTGAAACTAAGGCAAGATGGAATGACTGATGAGTGCAAACATTCAGGCCAGGTTCAGATATTGTTGATCCCCAGATGCGCCTCCCGGGACAGCGAACGATTGCACACAGTGTTTGCTACGCTGCCCCATTGATTTCAATCATCCGCGTAGCAATCGCTAAAAAAAGGCACATGTACCTCTTTTTGCGACACGCACCACACAGTTTCTGAACCGCGATCGTGCACGATTGCACTGCCATTATTGTGGCGGGAAACTGCGCAATCTGCCTGGCGCGACTGGGATGGCATTAGAAAATATTGACGCTGCCAGCGTGATCGGTGGTGGTGGGCAATTCCGTACATGATTGCTGTGTGGTCACGGATCGCCATAGTGTGAACCTATCCTCAGAGTCAACATTATACTTTACTACAGCAAATAATTCTAAAAAAAAAAAAGACTGAGTTTTAAGGTCTGGGATAGGAGATTCAGCAGCTCCATCTTACCTTTAGGTTTTAAAGAGAATGTGACTCTGACATTGTGCAGGTTTGCTTTAAGGTGACACTTCATTTGAATTTTAATGTTTTAGGATTACCAAAGAAGAGGATTTTAAGTACAGTGATACGGCTTGTGCCTGACCCTATTCTTTTTCAAATATACACAAACACCTGATTGGTTGCTATTAGCAACAACATTTTTCACAGTCTCATTGGCCTTCAGGTATAAAAATTTCTAAAACGGCAAAGTCTATTGCGTACAACTACTACATATTTTGTGACTAGGTTATATAAAACTGACAGCTGTGATCTGGAGGGTTAAATGCAACACTTTGTTTTTTATTAGCGAGCAGTAGCACAAGTTAAAAGGAATAAGGCAACTATATGAAGACAACCCTTCTACAAGACATCACTCTTACACAGCCTTTGCAGTTGATAAAGTAAACAGGTAACAAACCAGAACAATTTACCTTTAATGTAATCATGTAAAATAATCACTAGATCAAAAGACATATGCATTTGTATGCAAATCTCAACCTGTCCTTTAAACTCAAGCATGGCTGCAACCCCAACTGCTTTATAAATATACCTATTTGTCCCTAAATACAAACACTACATTAATGAACTAATAAGGGCTGGCACTGTGTGTTTAATTCATCCTCAAAGTTCACAACAGAGACACCAAATTCTGGTAGTAGCTGGTTTTTCAACAGCTTGTGACTGCTGGGGACAGGGGACGATCAACTGTGATTACAGGGCGTCTGCTGGGAACATTGAGGATGCATTTCTCCGCAGGGCCTGCAGCTCCAGAGGTAATGATGTCTCATTTTTAAGCTCATGTAGCACCCTACTTATAGGGGTGCTAAAATATATCTATAGTCTATGTTCAGTTCAACTGTGACAGAACAATCTGTGAAGCTGTGTTTGCCTGTTGCTGGGTGTGTGGGTGTGGTACCACACAGGACAGCCAATGAGGATTGCTTTGGGCATTTATGTCTCCCAGCCAATTACTGTAGGACAGTAGCAGCGATGCATGCTGGGAGAGGAGATAAATGCAGAGTGTGGCTGTTGCAACAGTCTCTTCCGCCCCCAGGGCTCTCCTGGGGACAGGTCTCTGCTGAAGAAACAGAATGGACTAGGCCCAAGCCTGGGGCCTGAGCCTGGAGGCCCAGTGGTCAGCCACTCATGTTGGAGTTGAACCTGAACAAGAATATTAACAGTACTGCTTGCCAGAAGTTCTCCACACAGATTGCCAGTACGGCTTAAGGGCCTGTTCACACGACGTCCGTTTTGTGTGCTGACCGGCTCCGTACGCTGCTGCACTCAAAATGCATCCCAATGTATCCCTATGTGTTTTATGGGCTCCAATTCAGACAGAAAAAATACTGCATGTCACATGTTGTCAGGTCCGGAAACGGAACGGATACGCAAACGCGTCAAAAACGCATCAAAAACGCACTGTGCTGCAGCTAACATACTAACAGCCCGACTCCAGCGCATCCAAAACGCGGCCAAAACGCAGCCAAAAACGCAATGCATCAGCAGCTCCACGTCTGCTGATCAGGACCTGATCTCATGTGAACAGGCCCTCAAGGTCCAAGTCTATGGTGGCAGCAGTTACTATACTCTATTTCAAGTACAAGGAGTCTACCTCATCCTGGATGTGCCTGACCCTCTCCCTCTCTCCCTGGAGTTCAGAAATAAAAGAGAATCATCTTGGAGCTATTGTCTGGACTTCAATCTGTCGGTAACCACTGGAAGTGGTAAGTGCTATTGGGGCAGCCATGTGTTTTAATAATCCCTAGACAGGCTATGGAAGACTCGATCATTCATCGGCTCCTGCACTACACTCATTTACTATTTGTGAAGCATACGTAAACAAGTGATTGTTCATAGCCTGGCCATAGGTTCACTTTAAGATTTACTTTAATATGATGCTATCTGCCCTTTTGTCTGGATCTACAGATCACTAAGCAGGTTTCACTAACACTGTGTAAGCTTCTTTTCACCATATGCTCAGTTTAAAAATTCACTGGTTTGTAACCATTAACTTTAATTGCTCAGGCAGGAAAGAAGTAGAGTCTTAAGGTGCCCATGTATTGTGTGAATTGCGGCGGGTTTTGAGGAACCGGAGGAAATTCGTACAGTGTGTGCCGTTGTTGGCACCCTTTAATCAGCTGATCGAAGGTGCTGGCTGGAACATTTTTGTACGATAGGAGCCAGCAGCCAATGAGCTGCCCACTTTCGTTGGGTATTTTGACGGCGGCCACTGTCAAAAATGCAATGCAAACAGCAGGATTCCTCAAACTGACACACTCCTAAGTGTTGATGGATGAATCTGCTCTATTTTTCTCGTTGAGCCCAAGGCTTCAATAGATCAGTGTACGGCCAGCCTAAGTCTAAGCGGCATCTTGAAAAAAAATTTAATCAGTGTGGTGGTGTTCTCAGAAACATAAAATAACTGTTGCTCAAAAGAGACATGTTGGAAACATTCTAAAAATAAACACTGTGGGTCCTGTTACTGAACGAAAAAGAGCTAGGGATAAGGCAAACAGTTTCTATGGAGAGAAAAGCAGCTCCAAATACCATTTTTGGCACACAAAGCACAAATAAAACGTAATTGCTAGTATAACCTTAAACCTAACCAGTTTCTGTAAAACATTTTTTTTTTCAGGTCAAAAAAAATCAACATCTCTATTGTCAGGTCAAAAAAAATCAACAACACAATTGTCAGGTTATGTGTACATAGTAAGCTACATCAATATCTACAGATTCAAGATAAAGAATCACAAAGCATCTTCCTGTAGCTGACAAGGGGGGGGCATTTTAGGGCCAAATAGTTCCATTTTGTGTAATTATCATTATACAGGATTTATATAGCAGCAGTAGTTTGGGGAGCACTATACAAAACAAAGGGAGACAGTACAGTTTTAAGACAAAGCAAGACATGAGGGTTAGGGGGCCCTGCTCATGAGAGCTTACAATCTACAAACGGGAAGAAAGTTGCCTGAGGAGAGCTTCCTACAGGTCCAAACATTTTGAAAAAGCATCCCAAAACCAAAAAGCAGACACATAAATGGCTTTTCACTAACATATATGTGACTCAGTTTTGGCTGCTACGTAAAACAAACCCAATTTTTCCTGCTGCAGTCATAAATGAGCCCTGAAAACACACAAGAATTCAAGGTATTTTCAAATTACCACTCAGCTAGGCACTTCAAAAGAAAGTGAGGGGAAAAAAGAAATTTGTTTACAGATAAACTTATACTGAGTGTTTAATGCAGCAATCAAATTTGTCAGTTATTTTATTACTCAATTATATCAGCAGACAAAACGAACAGTGGGTGGATGTAAAAAGTAATTCAACAGCTTTAAACATAAAGTTTCATGGTTAAAGCGTTTAAATGGTGCGGTGTAAAGGTAAAAAAACAAAATAAGAACAAAATTGCATGTTAATTAAACTGTATTCATGTTTAAAGTGAAGAGTGAAGCAAACAATGTCTGTTTTCTAATTTTAAAAAAGTTTATCATTTTTGATATCATTTGCATAAAAATGATTGTGATTTCCATTGTGTGCTGTGAAGTATAAAATTAGAGATTATTTCCAAGGTGTTCCATGTACCAGACAATGGACGGATATCTTTACACGTTGTGGTCACCCACAAGAAAATACAGCAATACAATTCATTTTATATGGGGATTTATGGAAAGGGCAGTTCATAGGCAAACCATTTATTAACAACATTAGCTTGAACATCAGTATTGCCACATGAGAAAAATACCTCCTTAAATCTGACAAAATCTGTGTCTTTAGGCCCCATTCACACTGAGCGATATGGATATTCGTGCTGAGCGGCTTTCAGCGACATTGCGCGATATTGAGCGACAGTGCACATTTTATCGCGCTACACACTTTTTGGGTGGGACTTCGTCGCTGCTACATTGGGCTGTAACCAATCAACAGCGTTCTTGATGTGACATAATTCTTGTGCAAAAGTGACCCTTCTGTAGCGCGATATCGCGTGAATAAGTTGCGCAATATCATTGGTAATGCGCGATTTCACGCGACACCAGTCTATTGGAGCAAATTTGCGCGACATCCACCGAAAAAAGGGTCATGTACGAGCGACGAGCTACAGGTGACATTGAGCTGTGAGATGTGAAAAGCTCCACTGAAATGCATTGGACAAGCTACATAGAGCGATTATCGTGCGGAAATATGCGCGATTTTGCGGCACAAATCGCGCGATAAAGCGATCAGTGTGAACGGGGCCTTATGTGCAAAAATGACTTCAAAATAATTTCTCGTGGGGGAAAAATGCAAGGCCTGAGGACTGAGGGTTTGTTGAGAGCAGGAAGCAAAGGTTGTGAGGTGGTGTTGGTGTGAAGGAAGGTGCCTTAT